CACAACTCACAGAAAATATGACAAAAGAAAGATATGTTTAGGTATTTTCTTGGCAGTTTTCCTGGGAGTTGGAATAACAATAGGATTAGCTTTCTACTTTAAACACAGGGAGAACAGGCCAATGTAAGTAAAAAAGTTTTTGTGGGATCTAATTCAGTTCGAAAGATAACAGACACTTATTATTCTGCCAACGGTTTTAATAATACGAGTTACTGTAAGGGTGTCTACATTGAATGCACACTATAAAACAGGCATTATGTAATAGCTAAATCTGTCTATTGCAGATCTTTCTTTAAGCCTGAAATTTATATAAATCATTAATTAGACATTAATTAACTTACAAAGACCATAATCAACTCTCGATACCATCCGATATTAAGTAGATTTTAAAAAGGTTTGCGGTTGATGCGGTTACCATAGAAATGGATAATCGATAGCCTTTTTCATTGCCTATTTTTAAACTATTATAAACTATTATAGCGAGACCTGCCAGCTCTTTATCAAATTTTACCAAATACCCCTTTCGCGGAACATCTTGACATTTAAAGTCTCTATAAGCGTCTTTTGGGGGACTTGTTATCACTACAGTATTGTTTTTCTCAATATTTACAACGATATGACGAATTGAAAATTTATCAACATTTGGTATGATATTCTCTGTAGAGGATATAAAATTGACATGGTCAAACCAGACACTTATAATCTTCGATAAAAAATTTTATTCCGATTGAATCCAAGTCAGGATGTTTTGATCTTGATTTTTTAAGAATTAAATTTTAAATAATCAATTTGAATACTTTTTAAGGCAAATCCTTGAAAACTTAAATATTATTCGTAACATGTAAATGACGATCATCGGCTTAAATGACTAGATAGTAGACTAGTGCAACTTGAATAAATAGAAGTCTAAATCATTTTTGTTTTCAGATCTAGAGAAACCAAACAACTATCAAGTCCTCCTTACAATAAGGTGTTAGTTGACTGTTATCCTGAACGTCATAATGGTACTGAAAACGAGTGTATTATTAGAGGGTAAATAGTCACTCTATGCACATTACGTTTATTAAAATTCTTTGATTATAAAAAGCCAAGACACATCTGTGAGCAAAACAATTTACCTTTATAATCCAATATATCGACCTGACTGTTAAGGTTTACCTTTTGGGTGTACTTGAAATCAATATTTGTCTTACAAATCAGACATTTGTCATATCAGATTTGTAAAATGTATTTTTGTTTAACTTAATTGTATTTTAAGATAAAATTTATTTTAGAGAATAAAAAAAATAGCTTACATTTACATTTCATTAGAGAAATACAAATCTCAACCAACAAATTTTCAAATACAAATGTAATTTACATATCTGAAAAGGTAAATGAAATTTCTTTTCAGTGGTATTCTGTGTGATATTTGGAATGTCGTAGTATTCCCGTATTTTAACATTAAAGACCCCACCCACCCCCCTCACCATATCACATAATAGAGTTTAATACCATACAACTTTTCTGGCATATTTATATTTACATACCTTGAAAAAAGATCAAAGTTTCACGGTACTGAACTTTATTAAGTGAGAGAAATGTGTGTTTGTGTGTGTGTGTGTGTGGGGGGGGGGGGGTATTTAAAGTCAAAAAAACAACTTTATAAGAAATGCTCGATATCTGTTCATATACTGCTGGAAAGTATGTTTACTGCTTGCTACAAAATGTCAATTTTTTTCTGGCACATTTATATTTACGTACCTTGAAAAAAAGAATAAATTTGAATGGCACTAACCTGTATTAAATGAGGAGGGGAGGGAGGGGTATTTTACGTCAAAATACAGGCAATAACACGAAATTCAAGATATCGGGATGCATACCATTAAAAAGGCCCAAATACGTTTTCAAAATTGTCAAATATTTTCTGGCATATACATGTACATGTTTACATACCTAGTTAAGCAGATATAAATTCCAGTTATCGTGTAATGCTTCACCGGCAAATATTTGTCTATCGCTCTTTGAATATATTGGCCATTTTACAGGCACATTCATGACTGCATGATTTAGAAGAGATAAAGTCCCTTTTCGTTTGTCTACAGAAATATGTCGCTATCAAAAAATAACCTAATTACTAAACATAGACTACTTCCAATTTATATTATTTAATGCTAAATATACTCTTCAAAAAAAGTAGGGGATATTGAAATGCAAATACCTATGCAGGTTGTGATATGATAAATAGTCATGGACATTTGACAGGCTTTGAGAGTATGTTCACAGATGAAGAACGTATCGCCCCAACAGATCCACTGAGCTACACGTGCGACACGCAATAGCGCCATTCACGTGGGAGGGGTTCAATATGAAATTTGACACTTCAAGGAAGGGTCGGTGAAAACTGCCGCGTGCTGGTTTATCTTAACCATGTTTGGTTTCCTATCGGTTCTTGCATAAGATTTACTGTTTAGCGTATCTTTGCTTTAGTGTGTTACGTTCAATTTGCAATGAGACGTCTTAAATATGATGAACGTCTACGTCTACTTCAAATGGGTTCTACACACCGAGCCGTAGCCAACATGCTTAATGTGTTACAGTCTGTGATCAGCAGACTGTGGAACCGGTATCAACAAACACACAATGCTGATGATAGACCTCGTTCAGGTCGTCCTAGAGCCACTACAATAAACCCAGGATCGATACATTCGAACACAGGTCCTGCGAAATCGAGGGCAAACGGCCAATCAGCTTTCTGCAAACTTGTACCAAGTTATAGGAATTCGAGTTACACCCCAAACGATTAGAAATCGACTACATGCAGCCCATTAACTCGCCAGCACATGGCAAACAGACGTCAATGGTGTAGGCAGCGTAGAAATTGGGGTAATCGTAGATGGGCGCGTGTAATGTTCTCAGATGAGTCCAGATTTACTCTGGATTTCACCGATAGGCGTGCTCGCGTTTGGAGGCGTGTAAATGAGCGTCATGCTAACGTTAACGTTAGACAGCATGACGGATTCGGGCGTGGGTCTGTTATGGTGTGGGGAGGAATTACCATGACTGGCAGAACGGACTTGCATATTGTTCAAGGAAGGGTCACTGGTGTGTACTACCGTGAGCACATCCTGGCACCGATAGTTCTGTCCTTTGCTCAACGTGCAGGTCGACGTTTCATCTTTCAAGATGATAATGTCCGTGCCCACCGCGCTCGTGTCGTGAATGACTACCTCCAGCGTCACCATATTGTCCATATGCCTTGGTCATCTATGAGTCCTGACCTTTCCCCTATAGAGCATGGACATGATCGGGAGACGTCGACGTCAACGTCAACCGACAACACTGCAAGAATTGGCCGTGGCACTGTAAGAGGAGTCGGTTAGATTGCCCCAAATCGTCATTGGACGGTTGATTAGGAGCATGCCACGACGAATTGCTGAGGATTGGTGGAGCAATTACTAATTATTAAGACAAAAATCAAAAACGTCCATTTTCACTTTTGACAGTGTAACTCTTTGCGAGTGAAATGGGGTCGTCAGATAAGCCGCCCATATGAACTGTTTATGTTCATGTGTAGGCAATTGGCCTGTTATTAACATACACTGGTTACCTGTAAGAAAAACAGCGGTGCATTTCCGCAGTTTTGTATTGTTTCTGAATATCCCCTATATATAGACATAACACGCGCGTGATTTCACTAAAGTCACGGCCATCTTATTGAATATATGCTTGCTCGATTCTCCTTTATTGTATGGTGACGTATTGTATGTCAGGTTGATTTCGGCTCATGTCGTCATAATGTTCCGGTTTGATGAATTTCGAGAAACGTTTTTTGAGAATTGTTTTTGAAGAAATGTTTTTGGAGAAATGTGTTGCAAGATTTGTATTTGGAGTTTTTTATTTATAAATTTGTTGTTCAAGATTTGTTTTTCGTTGTATGTCTATGATGAAATGTAAATGTAGATTATTGTTTTTGATTTACTAAAATAAACTTTATCTTTATATTAAAATACAATTAAAATTAAACAAAAATACATTTTACAAATTTGATATGACAAATATCTGATTTGTAAAACAAATATTGATTTTAAGATACAAATGTTAATTTTAGTGTACAAATGTCGAAATACGACAAGAAGATTAAATAAGAATTAAGGATTATGAATTAAGAACTAAGAATACAGAACTGTTTGGTCTCCCATATACTTGAAGGTTACAATTAATACAGGATGAATGATCTGTAGCAAAATTATCAGTTGTGTGATCTCATCTTTTCTACTTGTAATTCATAGTTTTGTGTTACTTGTTGGAACAATCTTAGCTGTAACTTCACAATCAATGGGTCATCATGAAAATAAAATGTACGAATATGAAAACAATACCGGTATATTTTGTCATATTGGTAGACATTGTTCTAAGCTCATGAACTCCTGTACTCATCAGTCTTCAACAAAATAATTTTTAATACCATATGTTCCCTTATTTTTAACATTATTTTCAGGTGCTTGTGGGTCACCCAGACAGCGAAAGAAGAACCACGATGTATTTACCCAGAAGGTCATGGTTACAGATTAAAAGGTGGGATCAATAAAACCGGAACTGGTTTTCTCCAACATTTGCAGAGAACACAATCTACTAATATATACGGTGGCCGTATGTATGATGAACTTACAATACATGTTGAATACCAGACTAAACATAGATTGAGGATAAAGGTGATTTTTTTAAAAATTCTGTTTAGAATTTAAATAATTATGTCAACCCGCGTTTTATTGGGATGGCTTACATCAGTCGTTTACGTCGGTTTCATTTTTTAAACATTTCATTCCATATGAAAAAAATCACAAAAGAGCACCAACTTCTTCTTTCAAGTGTTAAGATTGAATGTCATGTATAAATTATTATAGTCATACCGTTGAAGACCAATCATTTCGCAATATCTGTTACGTTTGTAGATTTATCCGGAAGGGGCGGGGCGATATGAGATCCCGACAGAAGCGCTAGACATAGAATCTTCCTCATCACCACCGTCAAGTAATGAACAGCTTTATGATGTTAGTGTAGTGGAGTATGGACCTCAGTTTGGAGTTGTCGTTCGTAGAAAGAGCACCAATACAACGGTGTAAGTTTAAAATATGTTTTGCCGTTCGTTGCATTAAATTTACTTAAAATACGTCACAACACAATGTTGGAATCCATTAGTATTTGATTTTAATATCACGATTAAAGTTTACTGCAATTACTGAAATTAGATACCCTGTCCATTCTTGTTAACGGTCATTTTGATTTTAAAACATTAACAACCATGCATTGCTTTATCAGGTTTTCCACAGATGTACCAGGAATGACCTTCTCGGATCAGTTTCTACAAATCACAACCCGTCTACCATCTGATAACCTTTATGGGTTTGGTGAACACAATCATCGTCAATTCAAACATGATATGAACTGGCGGACATGGTCTATATTTACTAGAGATTCTGGTCCTGTAGTTTGTATCATTTGTATTAATTGGTTTCTGTATGAGCTCTGTGGCTAGACATTTAAGTCGTTAATAATAAGCTAATAACGAATCTAGTTTCCTGTTATTGCCATTAATATGGCATTCCTTTAATGGAAGACGCGGGTAATTGTATTTCAAGTATGGACCTAGCACTGCTTCCCTTTTATTCTAGGGACCAGAAAACTTATACGGTGCCCACCCGGTTTACTTAAACTTAGAGGATGACGAAAATGCGAACATGGTCTTGTTAAAGAACAGCAATGGAATGGGTAAGTGAAATATATGATAAGATTTTCTTCGAAACCGTTTCTTAAATTCTGCATCTGACATTTCTGGATAACGTTTAAATCGTCTTCTTTCGTTGCTACGTTTGATACATACCTACATTATCTGTGTATGCTTCCACAGATATAACCTTACAGCCAAGTCCCAATCCAGCCGTAACATATCGGGTGATAGGTGGTATTTTAGACTTCTATATATTTATGGGGCCAAGTCCTGAACAGGCGGTACAACAATATATTCAGGTATATATAGTTTTAATGAAACTATTTGTAAGGTTGTTTTCTGATAATTCTTGGTGTGTCAGTAATGTAGGTTTTAGCATAACTACCATTGTATTTGAACAGCAAAGATGTAAATTGTAATATATCTACAATGATGTAAACTGTATTGTATCTACAATGCTGTTAACTATTAGGTAAACTAAACAATGATGTGAATAATTGTAATGCATCTACAATGATGTAAATTGTAATTTATCTATAATTTATCTATACAATGATGTGGATTGTAATATATCTGTAGTAACTTTGACCATGAGAAATTCCGATTTAACTTTAATGATGTTTCGCCTACTGTTCACATCTTAACATTTAAAAGGTACACTATTTTTAATCTTCAGTCTATAGGACTACCCGTAATGCCACCATATTGGTCTTTAGGGTTCCATCTAAGTAGATGGGGATATAAAGATTTAGAAGATATGCAGATGGTGATAAATAGAACCCGAGATGCCGGTATACCTTATGTAAGTTTTATCATGAAGTTTGTGTTTGGACATCTACTAGAGAAAACATATGTAACCAAAAGAGATAGCTACGTTCATTAATATCTACTCAGCAGCAACAAACGCTCAAAACCACCAAATCATGCTAAGTAGACCACTCTCTACCATCTCGCATATTTTGGTGAGTTTAGATATACAATAGTAAGCACATGGGGGCCGCGCAATATATAAACAAAACTCACAAAGACAAACCAGCATATTCCTGAAGCAATGGCCTGAGAAATCCCTCTCTGGGATTAGCTCTAATCAAACGAAACACTGCGAGGAGTATGGCAAACCAGCGGCAGCGGTATTATTTGAGATAGCTTACATTGTAAGCTAAAATACATGCTTATTGCAACATCTCAGCCTAGTAATCTGGTTTTGATATAATTGATATTTTTCAGGATGTCCAATGGGCTGACATCGACTATATGTATAATTTTATGGATTTTACTTATGATAAATCTGATTGGCCAGGTCTACCTGACTTGGTAGAGGATCTTCATCGTAATAACCAGAAGTTTGTAGTCATTCTTGTAAGTTAAGACAGTGTAATACGAAATAGGGTTGTATGAAATCTTGGTATAATAATCCGTATGCTGTCTTATTCTTGTTTTAGCTATAAGCAGTGGTGAGTGTTTGCACTGGGCAGGGTATACTTACTTTCTGTAGAATACCTAATATCTTTTCTCATGTGTGGCGTCATAAGAAATATGTCAAAAAATAACCTAATTACTAAACATAGACTATTTCCAATTTATTTTTTTAAATGCTAAATATACTCTTAAAAGAGTAGGGGATATTGAAATGCAAATACCTATGCAGGTTGTGATATGATAAATAGTCATGGACACTTGACATGCTTTGAGTGTATGTTCACGGATGAAGAACCTATCGCCCCAACAGAACCACTGAGCTGCACCTGGGACACGCAATAGTGCCATAAACGTGAAGGCAGCGTAGAAATTGGGATAATCGTCGATGGGCGCGGGTAATGTTCTCAGATAAGACCAGATTCACTCTAGATTTCACCGATAGGCGTGCTAGCGTTTGAAGGCGTGTAAATGAGCGTCATGCTAACGTAAACGGCAGACAGCATGACAGATTCGGGCGTGGGTCTGTTATGGTGTGGGGAAGAATCACCATGACTGGCAGAACGGACTTATTGTTCAAGGAAGGGTCACTGACGTGTACTACCCTGACCACTACTGGCACCGATAGTTCTGCCCTTTGCTCAACGTGCAGGTCAACGTTTCATCTTTCAAGATGGTAATGTCCATGCCCACCGCGCTCGTGTCGTGAATGACTACCTCCAGCGTCACCATATTGTCCATATGCCATGAGTCCTGACCTTTCCCCCTATAGAGCATGTCTGGGACATGATCGGGAGACGTGTTCGTCGACGTCAACGGACAAAATGCAAGAATTAGCCGTGGCACTTCAAGAGGAGTGGGTCAGATTGCCCCAAATCATAATTGGACGGTTTATTAGGAGCATACCACGACGAATTGCTGAATGTCTGGGATTGGTGGAGCAATTACTCATTATTAAGACAAAAATCAAAAACGTTCATTTTCACTTTTGACGGTGTATCTCTTTGCGAGTGAAATAGAGCCGTCAGATAAGCCGCCCATATGAACTGTTTATGTTCATGTGTAGGCAATTGGCCTGTTATTAACATACACTGGTTACCTCTAATAAAAACAGCAGTGCATTTCCGCAGTTTTGTATTGTTTCTGAATATCCCCTACTTTTTTTGAAGAGTATATAATTCATACAAGAATCTGCAATAATAAAGATTCGTGATCTCGATGTAAATTTCAATACTGTTGCCAAGATGTGCAAAGTATAAACTTTAATTTCAACATTTCTTGTATGGGCATGTGATATGTATGAACGTTATTGTCATTTAAAATTAAGTTTATTAATAGTAATTATAGTCAATATGGACAATAGTAACAGACTTGTTGTTTTTGTAGGATAGTGGTATAGCTTCAAACACTACATTAATACATGGGGCAAAACAAAATAGTCCTGGTTTTAATATATATCAAGATGGTATCGACAAAAAGATGTATGTTAAAGATGTTTCTGGAAATGAATTAATAGGGGAGGTAGGGCCTAATTACTTGCTTCAGCACTTTTTGATAATATTTTCATATTGAGTACGAACGGGGCAAAGTATCCCTTTTGAATGTTGTTTATTCGAATTAGAGGCACATAACCAGTGTCTTTGTAAGTTTTTAGAGAAACAAACTTTTATGTTATATATGTTAACAATAAAATGTATTTAAGTTCAACACAACCATTTGTCAATTAAACTTAGCTTTAACTATTCTGCTTTTTTTCTATTTACAATATAAAATCATAAACATAAGCGAACATAATGTTTATGTTCGCTTTCAAACACTAATGCTAAATCTTACATTTTATACATTTTCTCTAGGTCTGGCCAGGACAAACGGCATACCCAGATTTTACTCGTTCTAATACCATGAACTGGTGGTTGAAATGGATGCGATATTTACACAAGAATCAATCGATTGAGTTTGATGCATTGTGGATAGTAAGTTATCATATTCTCCCTTGAAATACGTACAATTTCGAAATGGAAATTCAAATCACCGACTCATTACAAAGTCGCCTAAAGTGTCTCTTTAAACGCAAAAAGGAGTAACGAGACATTGTATTCTACTTTATCTTACAGGATATGAATGAACCATCTAATTTTGTAGATGGGTCAATACATAGTTGCAACAGCAGTTCAAAATTGAATTTCCCCCCTTATGGAGCACGTGAGTATATTTATTTAAAGGTACTATAACATTTAGTTTTAGGGCCGTGACAGTCACTCTATTGAAAATCTGAAAGCAAAACCATAATACGGAGGGTGTGAGAGATGAAATTATATTTTACTCCAATTCAATTGATTACAAAATGTTATTATTTAATTTTTATGTTCACCTTGTTTACAATTGTATGGAAGCAGTAATATTTGGGGCAAGGGTTAAAGTTAAACGTTTGGGTAATTGAACAGATTTGATTAACATCCCACTGAAGAGCCAATTTGTGTTTTTAGATTTGTTTTCATATAACCATATGATCTGATATTTATTCCAATGAGCAACTGTTCATAGGACCGTGCACCCACCAGAGAAGGTTTCGCATATATATGAATAGTAGATGTTCTTATTCAATAGTAGAAATTTAGATATTTTTTTTAAAAAAATGAAGGAATTAGTAGCATTGAACTACATAGCAGAGTCAGACATTTCACGTCATTGAACGAGTTAATTTCTAGTGTACCTAATTAACCGAAAATCTTTGACCCAAGCACAAGAAGCCCGTCCCCCTATCCTCCACTCTACTGTATGTATAGCAAGATTAACCTTATGGCATTATATATGTAATGACCCAAATAGACTTCATAACCTTGTATTATTACATTTGCTTATATATGTGTCAGGTACACTGACATGGCATAACTAAATCTATATTTAATAGTCTGAGTAACACTTTCTTTGCAGACATACTTGGAACTGAGATTGATGGTAGATTATTCAGCAAGACACTATGTATGGACAGCCATCAACACTGGGGTCGTCATTATGATGTACATAATCTATACGCCCACAGCCAAACGATAAGGATACACGAGTAAGAAAATAATGATTAAACTATATATTAAATAGAGTGAATGTGTGCAATTTCGGGTCATAGGTGATAAACCACTTAGATTTCAGTCAATAAAGTATACACTTGGTGTGCTATTTCGATTAGCGATGGAGTAAGCTATGTGTACCATTAAAAATTTCGAAATATTAAACGGGAGTAGCTTGTTCATTATTTTAGTTTCATTTTTGCCTGACTGAGTATACATAAAATAGGATATATCTCAATACTGCCTATACAGTATCTCTGCAAGTAAGAGCCAATGAAGTAGACCATTTAATCTTAACTGTATATAGTCAAACATAAAAGGGGAATATTTTGTTTAGGGTATGCAGAATAAAATATTGGTCTTTATTCGCGTTTTAAAAGTGAACAGGGTTTCCGAAACAAGGATCTTAAAAAATCATGTTGCCCCTTGGAACAATTAAAACCATAACGTGTGTCTAAGTTATAATATAAAAAGGTTTATCCATGCACAAGCTGGTTTCCTGCCATCTCACCTGGCCGAGTAGACATGGCATTTTGGTTTATCCAAGCACAAGTTGGTGTCCTGCCATCTCGCCTGGAGAGTAGACGTGGCATTTTTTAAAAAAAACTATCACATAGCTTAAATGTGCTTGAACATGGAATGAACGGTTGTACCTAACCTCCCCTACACAGTTAAACTGAAATCTCGATACAATAACTGTTGTACTTTGAAAGGTTATGTGGTGGTGGTGGTAGTATGTGACAGAAACATTCATTCAAGTAGTGTTTCCTTTTGATGCAGTTTACATACGCTTCAGCTGTTGCCAAACGAGCTTAAATAAGGAACGCGCTTTCATAGAACCTGAACAAGATTGGGATGTATTTCCTTATTGAGAAAATAGGATTGAGAAGGTTCGGTGATAAGGAATGTCCTAACAAGAAGTCAAATCTGCTTTTAATATTTAGAAAAATGTTAAAAAGAGGAGAAGGAACCACGATAGCTAAGTGGGTAAGACGTTGGCTCGCTAGCCTGAAGGTCAGGTGCATTGGCCGAGAAAGTTTATTGGGATTTTCAGACGTGGTTTTCCCTTGTCAGTGGTGCAGGATGGATGGGACGAAAAACCGAGGTCTCGTGTATAAATTGGCATGCACGTAAAAGATCCCTTGGCAGATGGAATTCGATATAAGAGTAGGCCATAGTGCCATTGCTCGGGCAAAATTTCCATCATAGCACACTGTATAGCGTATGCCATCTTCATTAGCCCAGTATAGGAGCGGAACAGTAGAACGTTAAATTTCATTTCATTTCATTTTATTAAAAGAAGGGGACCCAAAAAAACCCGAGCGTTATCTACATATCTTAAAATACAATTTAAACATTTTGTGATTAATAAAAGCGTCATAATTTTAACTGTACAGTGTACATTGTTCAACATGTATTTATGATTAAAATAAACAAAATGATTTTTCCCAGTGCATGGATTAACATGCAACATGATTTTAACAGTGCATGATCAACATGTATTTGTGATTAAAATATGAAACATCCATTTTAACAGTGCATTGATCAACATGTCAGCCCCAAAAAGACCATGGGCAATAACTAGATCATCATTTGTTGGTACTGGTAAATATGCTACAAAATGGATGGGAGACAATCAAAGTAAATGGCCACAGTTGCATTGGTCTATAATTAGTAAGTACTTACAGTATAGGTAGCAGTAGTAGTATATGCATTGCATCAGGATTTTGCTATATTCAATCTTTCCAGAATAATATTGTCGATGTCCATGAATATACATATCTACACAGACACATGGATATCTGCTGTATCAGTATCACGTTTACGTTGTTATTTGTCTTCGTAAGTTTGTGGTATAAGGTGTCTGCGTGGGGTGGGGGGGCTATTAAATTGGGTCCTTCCGTCACATCTACGGAATACGTTCCTAGTAAATTGTACGTGACAAGCAGTAGGGTGCCTGTCCAACCTGTTTCCTCCCACTGCTAAAGACCTACGCGCAAGCGAATTATTGAAATAAATTGAACCATATTTTAGTCCCGAAATGATCTAGTTTGTGTCGATTGGACGTTAAACCCGATTTCTCCTCTCTCTCTCCCTCTCTCTCTCTCTCTCTCTCTTACATATTTAATTATACTACTGCAACGAACCTGATTCGTTGGTCATCTCATAAGGCAATGTACATTCAAATAGCCTAAATAAAACTTTGAATACATCTTCACAGTAAATATCTTGTCGCTTTCGGGATAATTATTTCATTATTCTAAATAAATAGCGTGTATGTCGCATTTTTACTGTAATCTCCGCTTCCCGTGAAATCTCTATACACTGATAAAGGTATGAGCATGGAACCAAATCTCATACATCGTGCTTACCTGAGTATGTTTTAATTGATTGTATTTTTTGTCGGTTTCAGGCATAATGGAGTTCAGTATGTTTGGGTTTGCTATGGTATGTATATTCCCCGTGTTAAAGAAATTCATAAATGCCTATAGAGAAGCCATACGAATAAGCGAATCATTAATATATATTTTGTTTAGTTCGTTCTTCTAGATGTTGCTTTTAGCGTGTTAAACATTAAACTCATCATTACGATTATTTGGTGTCTTTCATTTCAAAGAATGGAGCTGATATTTGTGGATTTTGGTATGAAGCTGACTATGAAATGTGTTTAAGATGGCATCAACTAGGAGCTTTTTACCCTTTTTCTAGAAATCATAACGCAAAGGGAGATAATCCTGTAATATTTAAGGTAATTTATGAATGGATGCGTCTCAAAAAGATTGCACGAAGCCATGCTAAATAAACGTTTTGAAAGAGGTTGCATATTGGTTTATTAATAAAAACGTCATTCTAGAAATCATAACGGCAAGGGAGATTACTCTGTAATATTTAAGGTAAATCGTGATTGGACACTTCTCAAAGACATTGCACGAAACTGTGCTAAAGGAAGTTTTGACATTTTGAAACATTGCATTTATTATTGTATAAATTTCTTGTCCTGGAATAAATAATTTGTATAATTATTCATCTAATAATATTCAATAAATATTTCATTTCATTTTCAAAAGCAAGCTAAGATAATAAAATGTTTACCTCAGAAAAATATCAAGTTTTGAATTTTTTTTTATATAGCATCAAGACCCAGCAGGATGGGATGAACATTTTATAGATATAGTAAAACCCGTTCTCCTGACTAGATACAGACTTTTACCATATCTGTATACCCTTATGTATAAAGCTCACGAAGAAGGCTACATGGTCATGAAAGCACTGCTATTTGAGTAAGTTAACACCTTACGGAAGTCAATCAGCTGAGTAAAGCGTTTATTTTAATGGAAGGTGTAAATACATGAACTATACTGTGTCTTCTTTTTAACCCCTGATTATTGAAACTTGTTGATACCACACTGTAAATATTTTCCAGATTTCCAAAAGACAGAAACACATGGTCAGTAGACCGACAGTTTTTGTTAGGACCAGCCCTTCTTATATCACCAGCCCTAGAACAGGTAACAAATATCAACTCTAGAACTCGTAGCTTTATAATTCGATGATGTTACAGTTATTTCAATTCTTCAACAACTGAGACGTGGTTAAATTCTTTCCTCCTTGTTTCACAAAAGTTAGACTATTGGATGAGATATTCGGAGAAAAACATATACTTTTAATACAACTTTTCAAATTAATTAATAATGTATTACATTGTATTTCAAATTTCAGAACCAAACCATCGTTGATGCTTACTTTCCTAAGGCCAGATGGTATGAATATCATACGGTAGGTTTTAACTTATACTTACAGAGATATGTCGCGTTGCATCCTGGTACTACAATTTAATCAAGAGATGATTGTCAGAGATTACTTGACGAATGGAAATCTAAGCATTGTATCAAGGACACCACTCTTCAATAAAATTCGAGCAATACTCAGTCGGGGGCTGTTGCTACATTTAGGTCTATTTATTCTATGAGCTGTTTTTTTTTTTCATTTCTTTTTTTAAAAAATTTGGATTTATTTATATTTACACATGTAATTATATATGTTTTTTTTTATTATTTGATTTTGTTAAACAATATTTGACAACTATTTCCATCAATTTATGTTAAAGGGGAAAGAAATAACACAAACCGGAGTTGTTCACCAACTATATACTCCGCTAGATAAATTCAATTTACATCTACGAGGTGGTTACGTGATACCTTGGCAAGAACCTTCAACTACAACTCACCAAAGGTTTGTAAAACCATCAAATCACTTGGATTGAATCTGTTGCTTTCTCGTTGTATGTCATGGTTAAACATACATTATGCAAGAGCTAAATCAGCCTATTGCAAGTTTTTCGTTAGACCTGAAATGTTATATAAACTATTAATTAGATATTTATTAACATGAAAAGACCGTAATCAACTCCCGATGTCATCTTATATATCCGATTTTTACTGGATTTGAATCCGATCTGCTGCTGAACGCTCATTGTTGATTAAATCTAAAAATGGATAATCGAGACTATGTTTTATCGTAACTACTTTAATAATGATAATCGAGGCTAGGCCTAACATTCAATCGCTAATATCACAGTTCAGAGTGGAGCAATTTTGACTGAAATTTTCAAAATATTCCCTTAACATTATCTAGTTTTTAACTATTATAGTGAGAACTGCCATCTCTTTATCTAATCTTCCATAAATCCCCTATAAGAGAATATTGTTGACTAAAAGTATATAGATTTTCTTTCATTTATCTAATACAAAGATATCGGTATGACTTCCATGCATACCCATTTAAACATAAAGATGTAACATACCCGAAAATAGTTTAAGATCATACGCAATGAAAAAGTATTTCAGACCTTTCAGTGCTAATTTAAAATATCTTTCTTTTATTGGTCAAAGTGTAAATGGCGATTTCAAAGGATTTTATATTTTAATTTGCTTTAAATTTGTCGGGTGACAAAGTTCCTTCATTGAAAATGTTTCGTCCAGTGTAAGGGTAACAGTAAGCTTAAATTGAAATAGTAGGCTAAATAAGCCCACTTCCGATTAGTCTGAATCGTATCTGAATCTACTTGACCCAGTTAAATACTTCATTTGGATCTAAATCGAAGGGTTTAGCTCCTTTAAGTTAATTTCCATTGGTTTCTTATGATTTCTTATCCAAACATAATAGTACTAATTCTGACATCCTGTGCGTTTTATAGCGTCAACTCTGTCCGTCCGTCAGTGTGTCCGTTCACATTTGTTTGTTTGTTTATACTTTTGCTGTTTATAATACCATCGACCCTCTTATGAAATCATTATACGGCATTTAGTAATTGAATATATAATATTAAAACACAATTAATATGGAAAACAATAACTGAGTTTATTTCACACTACATTAATTCAACATGTTGAAACGTAGAGTGAAAAAACTCAGTGATTGTAATGGAGAATCGGAGGTACAGTTAGTTATATGATTTTTACTGTATACTATTCGGTTTTATTATATTTTCCCCTTGCTTTTACTTTTAGAATTTTACATTTAGATTATGAATTTTAAATATAAAACCCTTTTCTGTTTATGATTGAATGAATAAAATGGTGTTGAACGTCCTACCTTTCTGGGATAAAAGAATTTTTGATACTTTGTATTTTTTCAACGCTTGTAAATTGTTATAGAAATTGCATTTTCTTTTTTTTTCTTTCAATTTATGCCCTCATACTGTGTTTTATTTAGTCGAACCAATTTTATGGGTATAATCATTGCTTTGGATGAAAACCAACTTGCTAATGGTGAATTGTTTTGGGATGATGGAGAAAGTCTAGGTAATAATTATTCCTGTATTATAATGTTGTATTTGCATATATCTATTTCGATGAAACAATATCGTAAACATATATATATATTAAAACACGACGATTTTGTGGTCTCTAGAAATCTAGACGATAATTATTAAACCTGGTCAAATTCAAAACCTTAATTTTTGAACAAATTTAGTGTTCTGAATTTTCCAGTTCAATACTGTTACTAATTCTAATACTTGTTATTTTTTACTCACCCATATTGTCGTCACCGTTGTCATTTTGTCTGTCTAGTTGTCGATATATCTGTATGTAACTCGCAGTATATATATCTAAACTTTTGTCTACCCGGTCAACGTTAGAGTATATTTAAACTGTTATTTTGGAGGGGGCTATTGGCGTTATATATCGAAACATATACTCGGAATACTAGTATAAGAGGAGACACTGCCGCCATTGAGACTAGAGGGGGTATCAAGTATATGCAGTCAACAGTTCGGGGTTTAATATGGTAGAAGCAAACCCATATGTGAATTACACCACAGAACAGGTTATGATATGATGTCATATTCATTCATCATGTTACTAACTGTATTGGCAACATGGACGACAACATAACTGGTACATGAATGTGATACTTGTATGTTTTATTTTTAGAAACATACAAAAATAACCAATCATCTGTACTGACGTTTACTATGGTTAAGGTAAATATTATAATAACTAAAATATAATAATGCCAATAAGCCAATAAGTGTCTGGTCACATTAAACACGTAGAAATTAATAAATGTTTAAATGATCGCCTAATTTCATAGGTACGTGTAGCTAAGCTTGTAAAGTTACCGTTTAACAACCTTTAAAAAATAACTGTCTATGAACCCGCATCTTTATACTGACTCTTTATAAGATAACAGTCATAATATATCCGATGGGGCTATTTGAATAATTTTCTCTTGCGCATAATTTAATGTTTATGATTATGTTGTGTGGTTGTTTACCTTTTTTTTTTTAAAAAAAAAAGGCTGGAGAACTGACGTTCGATTTTCAAACCAATAATTACCGGGCAGCGGAACTCAGAAAAATACAAGTAATTGAAATCTATGGTTTAGATAGGATACCAGACAAGGTTTTTGTTGACGATATCAGGGTAGACGATTATAAAATACGGCAGTCAGAAAAGGTAGGTTATGACCTGGAATTTTTTAAAACAAAAGATCCTTCACCATCTAAGGTCATGTTTAAATGTGACACAATAAACGACGAATCCAAGATATATCTTATTCTAATATCGATCTTTTGTACCTATCTAATTTATAACTTATACGCATTCGTAGTGACGGCCCTGCTATACTTCCCTTTCTTTTATTGTTTTCTGGCGTCTAGTATAATTCGGTTCGTTATGACTGCGATTTTGCAAAGTTTAACAAAAGTTATCGAATTAGAAAGGTTACTTGAGAAATATTGTATGGAGAACTTTACACGTAAATATTTTCTTATGATAACGGACAATTTGTGTACAACAGTCATCATTTTGATAACATTTTGATGTTCACTCTCGAAATCGAGCGCCCCCCCCCCCCCCCGCTAAACATTGTTTGGGTAGCCACGGTGGCTACATGGATAAGGCCTTGACTCGCCATCCTGGAGGTCGCGGGTTCGCTCCCGGTGTTAGCCGAGTACGTTCATCGAGATTTTCCGACGGGCTTTTCCCTTGTTAGTGGTGCCTGACAAGTACAGCTGTCCAGTCTTTTGGATCGGACGAACAACCGGGGTTCCGTGTACACATTGACGTGCACGTAAAAGATCCTTTGGTAGTTGGAATTCGATGTAAGAGTATGTCGTAGCGCCTCTGTCCGGGCAAAATATCCCTCATAACACACTGTATGGCGTATGCCCGTCGTCATTAGCCCCGTCGGAGCAGAACAGTAGGACGTTAAACCCCATTTAATTTCTAAAAAAATTGTGTTTTCTTTTGGTTCCTTTCAGATTATTCAGATAATGGATCTGCACATATATTTTTTTAATATCAACTTTTCACCATGGGTTGTGAGGTGGGAGATAGATTAGCGTTCAATGATTTTCTTAAAATAATTACACAGACTCTGCAAAATTCATTTAATGTTTCATGTATGTTGATTCGTCAAATTTCATGTTCCCATTTGAATAATAATACAGTCTTTTGTATATTCACCAGAATGACATAATACGTGAATTAAAACACACTAAAAACTAGTTTGTCTTTTTTAAAATTTGTGCTATATTTCTTTATACATGTTTTCCAAGTTTGTATTTTCATTTCAACCCTTTTGAATTAATGCCATGACACGGTCTCGGTGTTCATATGTAGACCTTGCAGAACCTTAGGAACTGTACAGATCCGATGTATTTTTCTTCATATTTTCATTTCCAGACTTTTGAAATATCGAAAAAAATATTCATAAAAGTAACATTTTAGAAACTAATATATAGAGAAGGAAGTCGATAAAGTAAAAAGACGAGGCTTTTTTTTATTTTATCGACGAGTGTTGATATTTTTTTATATCAAAAAAGATAAGTAGGAGATTCTATGGCGCTATTGCATAATCTCACACCAAAATTCAGATGAATCGATCAATATTTTTTTATTTTACCGACCTTTTAGCTTCTAACATGATATGAGTTTATCCGTTCGACGCCATTTTCTTTGACTACTCGAATAACAACACACTAAGACGTATTCCGACACACTGGGCTTGCTGGCTAACGCTGCAGTTCTTAATACATGTAATATTACTAATTTTCGTATATTTTAATTTTTGCGTTAAGCCACCATTTTTTATAAACGACTATTTGGCGTTGACTAGTTGGATTGGCCTTTGCGTGTGAATATCGCTGTGGCCTTGACGCTGACCGTGACTTCTAATTTCACATCGAGCTCGGGACCTTTGTGCTTATACATGTATGTGCTATGCCCCTATTTCTTGCTCTATTTTCGAGGTTAATGTCCGGGGTGAAAGCAGGGAACTCGAACTTTTCAAAGTCAGTTTTTGAACATTTGACCTTGACTTACGACCTTCACTCCGTAACCATTTCAAATAGCCACCATCGACCTTTACCGGTGTGACAGTTTGATTTGACTCCCGGTGTGTGTTTGCTCCTGGGCACTTGCGCATGTCTGAAACTGTTGTTTGCATTAACAAAGAAGCTATATCTACTTCCGGCGGTGTGATCAGTTCAGGAAAAAGTATTACCAACTGACAAAACCCTAACCAGTAGAGATTTGTCATTATTAAACATACTTGTTATCGTGATTAGCTGTTGTTTTAGTTATCAGTAGTTACACGATCAACGAATCTATGTTGAGTGGCTTGAAATTGATACTTCTATGGTTCGTGATTTGTTGCCGTTGTTTTTTAGTGATTAGTCGTTACACTTTTTGAAATTTTAACTATGTTTTAATACTTAACTATTTTGCAGATTGAATGTTGGCCTTTATATGATTGGGATTTCTCTGTATCATTGTTATTTTAATTTTGTACCTCTTATTAAAATTTTTACAACTTCACAATAAAGCCTATGTGTTTTATTACTCAAACACAAATTCTTTGTCATACAAACCACGGGATCTAAATCTGAAACTAAATCTGAAATCACTCATTTCTTGAACACGAATATATATTTATCACCCCATTCTATACAAAGAGAAGAAAGTGGTAATAAATACTCCTTGTAGATTTGGGTTCACACATGCATGCAAATTGCACAAGAGGCGATTATTTTGTATTAAATTTTCGCATTGTGGACGGGAATATACTGAATAATAATAAAGATCGTCAATTTGTATTTCTGCTTTTTATCGAAAATAACAAACAATAACTCGACAACCTCTCCTGATAGTAATACTGTAAATATTGGTAGATAATAGTGTAGATACCGATTTGACCATAAAAAAATCTTCGGGGAAAACCTATCACGGTCCAAGCCAAGATTATGGCCTTTTAAAACGGTTACGGGGTGAAGGTCGTAAGTCAAGGTCACATGTCTTAAAACTGCCTTTGAATAGTTCAAGTTCAGTTTTTCGTAACCTGGCCTTGACCCACGACGTTAACCTAATTATCTTTTCTGAGCGCGGGGGAGGGGGACATCGAACATTAACCTTGATAATACAGCAAGAAATATGGCTATGGCGCGCATAAACGCATAGGCCCCGAGATCGATTGGAATTATGGAGTCAAGGTCAATATCGAGATCACGGTTGGTTAGCGTTGATTACTGGAGGTCACCACGATCTTTCATATTGACCACGCCCATAGCCTTCATTTCAAACACGGGCCCTCGGCGTTTGACCGTTTTCTGATCAAGCTGTGTGAGAAGACAGGACCAAGGTGAAGGTCGTAAGTCAAGGTCAAATGTCCCAAAACTGAATTTGAAAAGTTTGAGTTCAGTTTTCTGTAACATGACCTTGGCCCACGACTTTGACCCAGTTATCTTTTCTGAAGGGCGTCGTCTCTGCTTTCACCTTGAACATTAACCTTGATAATACATCGATTCGGCTGAACTGGTAGAAGTGCGAAAGTGCAATAGCGCCGATTCTATTTATCACCCAATAAAAAGAAGTTACTTTTAATAAAATATGAATTGTACAGTACAGTAGATGATGAAATTAAGGACACAAGCGATATCTACTGTAGAATGTGATATTGGGGGAAATTCATTTCTTTGTCGTAAAACAAAAACCTATCCTGCCTACCCGCCCAGCACACCTCTGTCTAATAATTTTTTAATCTTTATGTTTAATGATATATAAATGTTAACGATGAAACACCGAAAATGAAACATAACGTCATTATTTCGTTTAAAATGCGGATTTTGGCATGACATAGCGCACTGCTGTGATGCCGCATCCCCTCCATGGACCAAGATTTTGGAACACCACAGGACTCTCTGGTTCAGGCCAATTCCACCCCAAACCATTATGCTTGGACCTTCCCATGAGTCTCGTTCCATGACACATTGGTCAGAATAACACTGGCCACGTCGACGCCATATTCTGGTCCTGCCATCTGCAGTTGATACGCAATACCGACTCTCATCTGTGAACAGAACAGTTCTCCATTGCCTGTGTCGCCAGTTCTGGTGTTGTTAGGCAAACTGTAAACGTTCAAGTCGATGGCGAGGGGTGAGGATTTGTTCACGGTAAGGTCTACGGCAATGGATGTTCTCTCTGTTGAGACGTCGGCGCACTGTATCGGTACTGATGGATCTTTCGTGTATCCTCACTGTCTGACGCGCTGTCTCAGATGCCTGTATGAAGGGATTCTGTACATGCTGTCGCACAACATGGCGGTCTTGTCGCCTTGTAGTAACCCTTGGTCTACTAGTTCGGGTGCGATCATCCGTGGATTTGGTGGCTCGAAAGCGTTGCTGACGCCTGTAGATAGTCCGAACATTGACCTGGAAGTGATTGGCAACGGCTTGGGCAGTATGGCCAGCGTCTAGTCTTCCAAGCGCCTGGTTCCTCTGAGCTGTTGTCAGTCGTGGCACGCTGCTGACGTTGTAGTGTGAATGATTCAACCAGGTAAGGGGGTGCATTTTATAGGGCTGGCCCCGGTGAAGAGCACGTGCAGCATGCATTACATACATCTCAGAAGTCAGGTTGCGTTTTTGAGAACATTTCCTGGGTTCAATTCTGTGTTTGGGAAGGAGCCTTATTGCTTAGGCAAAGTTGGAGATGTGGTCACAAATATACAATTCGTCTATTCAGAGTAATATACCAGCCTGACGTTTCTTTTGCTGCTTAGTATAGATTGGATATTGGATATTATCCTGAATTACTATCAGAACGCTTCACCAAACATTTATTCTGGAAGCTTTGGAAGTTGTGTTTAATAATATTTGTTTTTATTTTGACAATAATTATCATTCACAAATTAAAGGTGTGGTCAATGGTACTAAAGTTGGCCCCACCTATGCAACGTTAACTTTAGGATATTTAGAAGAGATTTGGTATGAGAGGTTTGCTATCGAGTTTGATAGAGAATTCAGTGACATGATAAAAAGATTACGGTTTCGCTTCCCGGATGACTGCATAACAATACTTAAAGCAGATAGTTGTAACACTTTGGTTTATAAGACAATATTGGGTCTTTGAAAAATTGTTGTCAAATCACATGTACTTAATGAACGTGAATGATAATAATATATTTATATAAAAAAAACCAGTTATATTTTGGTAAAGTCCTAACCATTGTCAAAATATCCATCAAATTCTATCTGATTATTGGCCTATGATTGGTAGTCCTCCCCCATGGTCTTGGGAAATGGGGAGGTTTATTCCATATTTGTGATGGAAATTAACGTCAAGGTCAATTTAAGATGTGCAGAAATTAGGGGGTTATAAAGGAGGGTGTTGAGCGAGATTGGTCAGAGCTCACCCAGGTATTCCGAGCAGCTATTATTTATTGAGAACGAGGGACCTTCGAATCGAAGCCATTCCAGCTTAACAATGAAGTTGTAGGAACCATTTAACCTGTAGTGTTATATATTACGATCACGAAGAAAACAAACCCAACAAGGAGGTCCGATAGTACTGCACAGTTATTACATAAAATATTGAATGAGTTGCACACTAAATATCAAATTCACTATAGAGTTTACCCCAACATCATGAAACTTTTTGAACGTAACCATTAATTAATCTGTCACCAAAGGGAGTGATTGAAACGGATCTGTATTACAGACAAACAGATACATACCAATATCTAAACTGTCACTCTTGTCATCCTTCTCATACCAAGTGCAGGACGGATGAGACGAAAAACCGAGGTCCCGTGTATACATTGGAATGCACGTAAAAGGTCCCTCGGCAGTTGGAATTCGATATAAGAGTAGGCGATAGTGCCGCTGCCCGGGCAAAATTTCCCTCGTAGCACACTGTATGGCGTATGCCCGTCTTCATTAGCCCAGTATAGGAGCAGAACAGTAGGACGTTAAACCCCATTTCATTTCATTTCATTTTCTCATACCAAATGGAACATTCCATATAATTTAGCTAGGAGAATATGTACCATTGTTCGAAGACGGTTGTCAAGGTTAAAAAAATTCTTATTGAAACAAGAATA